CCATGTCCATTCCTAGCCCCAGGTCTTGCGTGTCCCAGTAGGTGCTGCAGGCCCCATCTGAGATGGCCCACCCCCAATCTTGGAACTCACCAGCAGGTGCTATAGCATGGCTCATTCCAGCCTGCCCCAACTATCAGCTCTTGCTGGCAGACGCAGCAGCCTAGCTCAGCCTGGCCCACCCCAAGACCCAGCTCTCATATGCTCCAGAGGGCCACGTCCAGCCTGTCTCACACCCATTGTGGCTCTCACAAGCACCAGAGCAGGTTCTGGTGCCCAACCTAGTCATGCCCAAATCACATGCATACCAATAGGTGCTGTGGCCAAGCCTGATCTGCACACAGCCCCAACTATCACATTCACCTGTGAGTATTGCAGCCAAACGGGAGTTCCCAGAATTCCACTTCAGGCCCATTGCCAGCCCTGGTTTTTGTGTGGTGGGTGCTTTGAACCAGCCTGGTATGGCCCACCTGTAGTCTTAGCTCTAGCTTGTGGGAGTTGCAGCCTACCCTAGCCAGACATAGCCCACAACTTGCCCTCCCTCTCCTGCATGCCAGCAGGTGCTGAGCCCTGCCTATCCCCAGACCTGGCCACACAAAGGCTGACAAGTGCTACAAATTTGCCTGGTCTGTCTCCAGCCCTGGCTCTTATGCTCACCAGTGGGAGCTGCAGCCTAATAGAGGAGTTCCCCAAGTCCCCCTCCCAGGCCTGCCCCTAGTCCTACATCTCACAACTGCCAGAGCAGACAGCAGCCCTGCTTGGCATGGTCTGCCTTTAATCCTAGCTCTTACATGTGTTGGCAGGTGCTGCAGCTGATCCAGCCTGGCCTCCGCCAGCCCCAGCTCCTGCAAGTGTCATATGGGTTCCTGTTAGGTGAGTTCTGTGGTCCAGCCTAGCTTGGCCCATCACCACCCACCGCTCTCTGTATAAACTGGCAGGTGCTATAGTCCCACAGAGGCAAGTCCACAATTCCCCTATAAGTACCCCCAGATTCAGTTCTCTCACATTCTGATAAGTACAACAGCCCATCCTGGCATGGCCCACCCTCTGCTCCTACACTCACATGTGGGTACTGTGGCCTAGCCCAGCTAGTTATGTGCCATCCCCAACCCCAGCTTCTGTTAAGTGCCAGTGAGATGCCATTTATCCCAGCTCGGGTCTCCCATGTGCACAAGATGCCTTGACCTGACCCAGACATCTTCCAGGTTCCCCTCTCTAAGCTACTCTGTTGCAGCTTGCTTATCTACCTGCTGAGTACAGTGGCCCAGTCTGTTGAAGACCCCAGAAGTCATTCTTTCCCTGTCCAACATGCCCTTATCTGCTCCCACTCCAATACATTCCCAGGCCCCCTTCTCTGGACAATCTGCACCATTCCCCTGGGGGCTGAGGTGGCATATCCCTGCCACGAGTCCCCCACCTTCCCAGAATAAGAAAAACTAAACTAAAATAAAGCAGCTATGCTGGCATACTAGTATAGTTACCACAGATAGGTCATTAACCAGGCCCAGAATGCTCATCAGCTATTGGGTGCTTTTCTCCCAGCAGAACACGTTCCCAGATACGAGGCAAACTAGGCAGTGCTTACAGCTATGGATGGCCTCGTTTTAAGGATTAATAATATGCATAAAGCAGTGAGCAGAGTAAACATTCTCCAAATGTTGTTTGTTGTTACTTTTACTATCATCCTGCCAAATGAGTCTTATTTCTCTCTTGTTCTAAAATACATGCAAAAGATCCTTGACATTCAGTCCTGTGAAATTTAGGATTCTTTTGGTCCCAAACCTGGGACTGGTGCTCCTGGCTCCCTAAAGGACCTCTGGGAACAGCAGAGTGGCTGCTGAGATGCTGTAAGGATTTGACAGCCTCCACCCCCCCACCCCCCGCCAATACTCCCAAATACTTCCTTGCACTCATGTTTTCATATGCCTGCAAATACAGATTAAAAATAGTTAAATTGTGTGCTTAGCAAAAATTTGAATCACTCTGCCAGGTCCTGTCAGAAGTTATTGGCTTAGTAAGACCAACCAACAACCCAGCATCTGCATTCCCGTTGTATTTATATTTGGCATTTCTTTGAAGTTTTTTTTAGATCCTTTCCTCCCAATTTTATTTTGTGGCCAGCACTTTGTCTAAACTGCATATCACAGTCTATCATCACCATCAGATATTTAAATCAAATCACTTACAGACAATTATTTTTCCTTCTCTTACTCCCAAGCACTGCATTTCAGATATAGAGACACGATTTTTTGAAAACATTAAAAAATTTCCTAGTAAACAACTCTATGCTGTTACAGGCTTATTTTACATAACCTGGGAAGTAGTGGGAAAAGAGGCATGTCTATATTGATATGATAGTAGATAAAAAGTTATGAGCAGGGCCTGGCACACTGGCCTAGTGGCTAAAATCCTTGCCTTGCATGCACCAGGATCCCATATGAGCACCGGTTCTAATCCCAGCGGCCCCACTTCCATGCTTATGGCCTGGGAAAGCAATCGAGGATGGGCCAAGTCCTTGGGATCCTGCACCCATGTGGGAGACCCGAAAGAGGCTTCTTAAAAGAAAAAAAAAAAAGGAACAGGCTTTGGAGTTATACTACCTGAAGTGAATTTCAGTCTTTCTAGAATTAGTTATGGTCTGTATGCCTCAATTTCCATTAATATAAATAGAAATATTAACATAAATATTTCTATTTCATAGGCTTGCTATATAGATTAAATAAGGTAACACTTTTCATAAGCAGTTTTGATTATACTTAAACAGTTTATAATACGCCCAATTCCTAAAGTGACTCAGATCACTCAAATTCAGAAAATGATTTGGTGCTTAGCTTGAGCTCCATCTGGTGGTTTTACAGCAGTCCTCTGAAAAAACTAGTCAAAATGACGAAGTTCAAAAATATAAACTAATTATTTAGAAGATTAAAGGATTATGCTATACTTTTTCATTCACACTACACTTGATCTTAGCCAAAAGACCAAGAAGTGACACTACTTCTTAATTCACAACTTTAAAGAAATAAAGTGACAAATACACCCCTGAACTAATTTTGGAAATGCCAAACTAAATTTCCTGCCAAGAATCCAGCTTAGGAATTCAAGTGCCTTAGACGTCACTCACAATAGGTTGTAAGGCAGTTTCCCAATAGCCATCTTTCCAAAAGTCACAGGACACTAGAAAATAAGCTGTTTGGGTAATAGTCCTTGACTTTTTCTTAGTAAGACAAATCCTGAATGGGCACATTTCGTAACAAAACAAAGCAAATGAACATTCTATCGGAGAGGCCATGCATGAAAACGCAAAGCTTACTACCATGGGACAGGAACTACAAGTTCGGAGCCACAGAAGATGTGAACAAATTTCTGCAAATAGTCAAAGAAAATCTGTTTAGAAAACAACAATGCTGCAAAAATCTAAATAAGCATACAGTGCACATTACTAATACAGACAATTCCTGCAATGAGAGGAAATAATTTATCTCATCAGGGTTGTCAATGGTTTAACGGAATAACACCTACAGCTTCTCATGAATATCTACATATCCACTCGCTGCTCACCAGCTATTCACAACTTTACCAAAATGGAAGGAATGCCATGAACAACTGATAGCCACTTTTTAACTCATTAGCTTTCAAAGCTTCTCTTATACAAACTGAGTCAATAATTTAACCTTACCCACAACTTAGCAATGAGTTTTTGGGTAAATTCAGTGGAATCATACTATAGTTATGTACTATAATATTGACCAAAGGATATTTTGGTCAACTTTGGACAGCATATACAAGGATGATTCTATAAGGCCATTCGTGAAATCTGGTGAGGTGCACGTGTGCCCTGATGCTTTGGGGGAGACAAAATGGCCTACAACGCATTTCTCAGACAGGATCCCCATAATCAAACAATGTACAATGTGATTTTGAAATTTTACTAGCATTAAATGGAATAGAATGAAATCTCTTGCAGATGTGGGTCGCCATATTGTGTCCCACTTACCAGTATGCTCGGTGACGTTTGTGACCTCATGGCTAAGCAAGTTTATTGAACTAGGTCAACTAAAAATAAATAGGAGTGAAATTAGCACACTAGCCTTTCTTGGATTTTATTTTTTGGAAAACTAGTTCAAAGAGTAAAGGCTCAATCTCCTATAAAGATCCACAATTATACCACCACAGGACAATATTAAGGTAAAATCTCTCATGAATCTTCAAATATGCTGCATTTCCCAGATGTGACCTTTTTTAACCATGTATCTGGAGAAACTGATTCAGAAAAACGTTCTCTCAGAAACATTATATCAGGCTGTTAAATAATGAGCTGTCCTAATCTCCTAACAAGCATTTTGATCTGTACATGTTAAACTTCTCTCTAAAATTGACAGAATTTGTTCTTCTTAGTATAAGAAAACATTAAACATATATGAAAGATCAAGTTCCAAGATCTACACTCAAACTGGTTTCATTGGTTCATACAAAACCAAAATTATAAGCTATATTTGATATTTTTTAAAGATTTATTTCTTTGTACTGGAAGTTAAGATACACAGAGAGAAGGACAGAAAGATCTTCCATCTAATGATTCACTCCCCAAGTGGCCGCAACAGCCAAAGCTGAGCCAATCTGAAGCCAGGAGCCTCTTCCAGGTCTCCCACGCAGGTGCAGGGTCCCAAGGCTTTGGGTCATCCTCGACTGTCTTCCCAGGCCACAAGCAGGGAAATAGATGAGAAGCAGGATTAGAACCAGTGCCCATCTGGTATCCCAGGGCATACGAGACAAGGACTTTAGTGGCTAGGTTACTGCACTGGGCCCTATGATACTTCTTTTTAAAAATGCTCATGTAACAGCTTTCTTTACACCTGAGTTTACTCAGATGTAAATTGTGCACCTGATCTCTTTCACCTTTCCTACTTACCAAGGTGTTTTGTTCTGAATATTTTATTTGAAAGGCAGAGTTACACAGAAAAAAAAATATATATATATATATGACAGAGAAAGAGGTCTCCCACCTGCTGGTTGAGTTCATTCAAAGCCACGAGCCCAGAGATTCTTACAGGTCTCTCACATAGGTGCAGGGGCCCAAGTACTTGGATCGTCCTCTGTTGCTTTCCTGGGCCATGAGCAAGAAACAGCTGGGACCAGGAACTAGCACCCATGTGAGATATTGGTGTCTTAGGTGGAGGATTAGCCTACTCTGCTAAGACAGTGGCCAAATCTAATTATACAAGTTCTTTTTAAGTTAATTTTTATTGGGAAGTTAAACCAATTTACAGAGAGATTTTCAGGAATCAAGATGGCGGAATAGGGTAAGGACAAGTTTAAACAGATGGAGAAACATAAACCAGTGTGAAGCAGAGAGGGCACATGCCAGGAAATAGAAGAGGACAGAACAACAGCTGAGGGGCACCTGGAGACTGACAGACACTGTAAAGCAGTGGACACAAAGGTGTAGTGTTGCAGCGACTGATATCCCAGCAGCATTCAGTAAGTGGCGATCTGAACTCCACTGGAAGCTGAAAACTCCATCACCAACAAGGTGGGAAGGGATGTTCACCAGAAGCTCAGAACGTGAACCCAAAGAACTGCCTGTGCTTCTGGAGACAGCATGGCAGGTCCCAGACAGGTGGTATGGGAAAGAGATAGATTTCATAGCCCAGTCAGCCCCTAGAGCTGAACCAGGTGCCATTTTATATAAGGAAGCAAAGGTTATGGGACAATACTGTGCATGCACTGAGCCAGGAGTGAACTCATTTCTGACTCAGTGAACTAGAACAACATGGCATCCTACAGGTTCCACCCAATATAGGTCCAAGTAGCCCTCAGATCTGACGGCCAGCAGATCAACAACTCTAGCAGTGGCACATCAGGCACCATTTTGTAGTGTAGAAAGACTTTAAGACAGCAGGGACAATAGTGAGCTGCGAATGCACTGAGCTGGAGTGAAATCACTGAGCTGAGTGTATGCACTGGTCCCACAGGGAAAATAATACCAACTATGGCATAGTATGGATCAAAATAGGTCCATGTGGCCCCACACCTAACAGCCAACAGGTTCTGATCAGATCAACAGCATCAACAACCTAGCTACATAGGATACCTGGTGTCTCCCAAATCCTGGGAACTGCTGTAACAGAAAGTGGGAGAAAGGTTGTACAGACAATGGTGCAGCTTCAGCACAGTATCACAGGAGGTGGAGACTGATGAGCCAGGAGCTGGGGCTATGAAGACTATGGTGGAAGTCTAACATAAGAACCCAGACCTGGAACTCACTGGAAGGAGTGGCACAATTGGCTGCAAACGAAAAGCTGTGTATAAACTGCAATAATTAAAACCAAACTATAGACCTGTGGCTAACACAGCTTAGAAACCTGCCCTAAGGAGAAGAAACTGATAACCAGAAGTACAATGACCAAGAACAAAAGTAGAGACAAAGGCACAATGAATGTTACTGAAGACTTCCCTGCAAAATAGCAAGCCTATGCCAACCTCAGAGTTCACTGAGAAAGGCATCGAGAAAACGGGGGATACAGAATTCAAAACACTTGTTATAAAACTTACTAACAATGAGAAGCATACAAAGCAGGCATTCAAGAAATTTAAGGAACATGTCACACAGGAAATGAACAAAATCAAGGCTGACATACCAGAAATGAAGAATACAATGGAGGAAATTAAAAGTACAGTAGAGAGTCTCCAAAATAGAATGAAGGAAGTAGAAGAAAGATTCTCCGAATTGGAAGATAATTCCTGTCATCAGGATAAAACAATCAAAAAGCTGGTAGCAGAGCTGGGTCAAGCTAAAAAAGTACTCAAGAATTGAAAGACACTATTAAAAGACCAAGTGTAAGAGTTATGGGAGTCCCAGAAGGTACAGAAAGAAAAACTTTAAAGGTATATTCAACCAAAATAAAGGAAAATTTCCCTAATCTAGACAAAGAATTGGGAAACAACATCCAGGAGGGACACAGAACTCCCACCAGGGTTGCCCATCTCTACTTCCAGATCAAAGATGGACTACCAATGAAACTGTTAACTATATCTTGACAACAGGATGTTGGACTCTGCCATTGTCCATGCCCACAATGATGTACATATGATTATTTATAAAGACTATACTATAGTAGTCATATAGGGAAACGCAGTGGGATGGAGGGGGGAGGGAGTTTGGGGAGTGGATAAGGAAAATCTCAGGACCTACAGAAATGTATCATAAAATGGAAATAATAAAAGCAAATAAATAAATAAATAAAATATGTCCTATCCACTGCTTCACCCCCTATGGCTGCAATTGCCAAAGCTGAGCCAATCTGAAGCCAAGAGCATCTTCGGTTCTCCCATGCAGGTGCAGGGTCCCAGGCAATAAGCAGGGGGCTGGATCAAAGAGTAGATGAGTTACGAACTAAAGCCCATATGGGATGCTAGTACTGCGAGGAGTAAGATTAGCCAGTTCAGCCATCATACCAACCCCTAATTATATCGGTTTCAGAAAACTCCAACCACATAGATAGCTGACAGCATTTTAATGTCTGTCAATACCTGGAACTCAGGTAGCACTCAATTTAAAACACAAATACAGCTTTCATTCACCACCAAAATTCCTTTATTTTAGTTTTTCCAAAAACTTGGAGGAGTTACACTGGGTTTGAATTGAAGAAAATAAAGGTAACTTGAACTATGAAAATAACTATTTTTCACCTGGTGAGAGCTGAAATCAAGGCACACTCTCACCAAACATCTGTCCAGTGGGCCTGTTCACCAAGCCAAGCCCTTGGCTGCCTTCACTGCTTTGGCTTTGCTCTTCCCCTTTGCCTTCTCTCTCTTTGCCTTCAGCCTTTTTCTTTGCCTCTGGTTCATCCATATTGGGTACTGTCCATGCTCATCTAGGAGAGTCTTTCTGTTTCTCTTTGTTTCAGTCTCCATTTTCATGTCATCTGCATTTTAAAAAAGGAATAATTGTTAAAACATATTAATAAGCTGAAAACAAAAGAACTAATAATATGAGATTGCAGAAGAAAAACAAATTCCTCTGTGCCAGCAAAAGGGCTCAACTAGCTAATCCTCCACCTGTAAGTACCAGCTCGTGTCCCAGCTACTCCATTTCCCATCCAGCTCCCTGCTTGTCCAAGAAAGAAGTTGAGGACAGCCCAAAGCCTTAGGACCCTGCATTCATGTAGGAGACCCAGCAGAAGTTTCTGGCTCCTGGCTCCTGACTTCAGATCAGCTTGGTTCCAGCCATTGTGGCCACTTGGAGAGTGAACCAGTGATCTTTCTCTGTCTCTCCTTCTCTGCAAATCTGTCTTTCCAACATAAATAAATCTTTAAAACAAAACCAGACTTTTAAAAATCCCAAATCCCTCATTTGCAACATGCTCTTTAATACTCTGAAATTTCTTGATTGCAAATTCAATAGAATCCAGGCACGCGCTGTCATTGTACAACTGTGAATATAGGACAAGTATCTGTGAGCAACTAGATATAATTTCTTACTGAGAAGCTTTCTAAAGAATGCTGTCATGACTGATTGACCTTTGGCCTAGCAAAGTTAAACAGAAAACCTTTAGGATATATGGCTTTGAACTGCTACTTTGGTGGGGAAGAAGATCACGGGACAACTGAGCCAGTGAATAAGTACACCAATCTTTTACAACATTTTTTGTTATCTGAGAGGCAGACACAAAGAAGGGTGTTTCTATCTATCGGGCTACTCTCCAGACGCCTAAGACTGCTGTTGAAGCCAGATCTCAAACATGAGTGACAGCAACCCAACAACGTGCATGATCGCCACTGCCTCCCAGGGTATACGCTAATAGCAAGTTGAACCAGGAGCTAAGGTGCTGGCCAAAGGCCCAGCAGCTCTGCTTCCAATCCAGCTCCCTGCTAATGTGCACCTGGAAAAGCAGCAGAGGATGGCCCAAATACTCAGGCCTTTGCACCCATATAGGAGACTATGTTGAAGCTCCCGGCTCTGGCCTGGATGGACTCTGCTGCTGTCCACACCTTTTCAGGAGTGAATCAGCAGATGGAAGATTCTCTCTCTCTCTGCAACTATGCTTTTCAAATAAAATACATCTTTTTAAAAAATTAGACAGTTGCAAGAGTGAAAATAAGAAAACATGAACTTGAAGACAGTGAAGAACCATACTGGAGAAAACAGATTACCAAATGGGGAGGATCCTCTGACTGTGATCCATCCCCATCCCCATTTGCCTCCTTTAATCCTTAAACACTTTAAGAATGAGGGTATCAAGACATACCCCAGACAGATACAAAAATCCCCCTCTGAAGATGACAAAAAGGTCTTAAACAGACTGATATTATATATATTATATATATATATATATATCTTATGCATATGCACACATACACAGATACAGAGAGCCATTAAGAACAGGATGCTACAAAATAAAACTATTAACTATAAAACTAACTCAACACAAGAGTAGGAAAGAAAGCTGAGGAGATCAGAAGTTATTACAAAAGAAAACTATGAAATAGAGAAGAAGAAAATTGGAGTATCAATCTAAGACACAACAGTGCAGAATATACAAAGAACCCTCTCAACCCACCAATAAAAGTACAATGTACTTTCTTTAAGTGAGGCTTTGGCAGGGTAAGGGAGATGGGGACACAATGTTTCCAAGTAAGATGTACAAATGTTGTAAGTGTACTAAGCAACACTGAATTGTACGGTTCAATCTGTTAAATGCTTTTCCGTTACGTGAATTTTGCCTCAGCAACAAAAATTATAGAACGGGTTGCACGCATGTGAGGTACTGGAGACAGCAACTGAAGGCGAGTTCTTCAACATTTTAAATGGTTGGCATGGGAACTTGAAGTAGCAATTAAGACACCTTTAATCCACACACGAGTGCTGGCTGGATCCAATGTCCAGCTCTAGCCCTCGAGTTCAGCTGCCAGACAAGGCTGGCACTGGGATGCAGCGGTAACTGCTTTGGTACCTGGGTTTCTGTCCCTCGCGTGGGTGACTCAGACGGTGTTCCTGGTGCTTTGGACAAGCCCAGCGCAGGCCATGGTGGAGATCTGG